GACAAGAATTGCTTTAACAAGGCCTATTTAATACAAGATTGTCTCAGCTTTGATTCCCCATTAAAGGATATGTTCAACAAAAACCGTCCAAGCTGAATTTTCTGAAAGAAAGGCCTTTTTGAGGCATATGCCAGCCAGAAAAAGGACCCGGTCCTGGGGTATGCAGGCTAGACTCCAGCAGCAGGGCGAGGTGGAGAAGACAAACATGTCTGATATCCTGGGGTTGGCTGGGCTCTACGAGGAAGTTGTTTTGAAAGAATGTGCATTGGCTATATATAGAGGAGGGCAGGAAAAGGTGAAACAGAACTAGTTTGGGGATAAGTGTATAGTCCGTAAGAAAGGATTTGCTCTTTCTGGATTGGTTGTGGGCAACAGTTTGGAAAGTTCATGCATCATTATTCCATCTAGATAACCTAGGAAAAACAGCCACCTGGAAGTTAATTGAAAATTTCAATATCCATTCAGGGAAATAAGCAGTCTATTGTTGCTTTCCCCTTGAGGGTTTAACTGATTAACCTTTCTTATCTCTTTTTCCTATCCTCCGGCTGCTGTAACTTAATTTAGGACATCTTAGATTTTCCCCCCTTCGTCAAATGTGTCTTTTCTCCTGGTATGAGGAGGGCATCTCCCACATGGGAGTTTTTATCTCCTCTTTTCAGGAAGAAAATGGGGATTAGGATACTCTTCTTGCACCTGTTGTTTTTTAAAGTGTCTTTAGCTCTAAATAATCCTTGTGCCAAAGTGGCATATTTTGAGGTGGCATATTTTGCCACCCTTCAAGCAACAGAAAGGAATGATTTAGAACAGCTAAGACCATAGCAGCTCCATTTTTGTTCCACCTAGATGAAAGTTGTTGACTAATCAGGGGTCAGATTATTCATCTGCTGGTGAAAGCCAAACTTATTCCACAGATCTCTGAAACACTCAGAACAGATACTGGGCATTCAGTTTCACCCTCCTTTTAGAAATGAGGAAATGAAGCCACAGGGACCTGTGTGTACTTGCTCAGACTGTCAACTGATATCAGAAGAAATGTTGGAAACTTGGTAGACTTTTTTTTTTGTTTTCCTAATAACAAGCTTTAAAAATATGTTTAAAACAGACCAATTCTGGATGTAATAATTGAGCACAGGGCAAGATGGAGATCACCAGATGAATTGCTGAGGATAACTGCCCTTGAAATTTGGCTCTCTTGAGTTGCCTGAAACTCTATATACTATGAAAGTTAGCATCTCTGACGCATTCTAGACAGCTTGATGGGTTTTCAACTGCAACTTCAAAGAAAGTTGCATTCCTTTTGGTTTTGTCAAAACAAACATTTTTAATGCAAAATGGTTCCTTTTAAATAGTTCACACTCTACATTGTCATGAAATCAGTAAAGATAATGCATGGTGACAATCAATTCTGAGACGAGTGAGATTCTGTGCTACTCACTGATGTGTAAGTACCAGTCAAAATGACTTGATCTTGTTTGAGAGGAGGCAAATGTGGCAAAACAGAAAGAACGTGGAGTTTGCCATCAAAGAGACCTAGATTTCAATCATACTCTGCCACCTAACAGCTGTGTGACTTTGGGCAGGTTACTTGTCCCACTGGGCCTCAATTTTCTCTTCTATGAAATTCAGATAAATATATAAATACTTGCATAGGGTCATTGTGAAAATAGAGTTGTTAAAAAAAAATTCAACTGAGTAAATTTAAAGAACTAATTAGCTTTATTCAACGATTCAGGCAACGTCCCATCTAGCAAATAGGAAGGAATTCCAAGGAGCCATATAAAACGGAAGTCTTTTATAGGGAGAAGGGGGCAGGAAAACGAACTTTCTAGCAAAGAGGGCATCATTTCAGGCAAGGGACTTCCTTTGGGGCGTCTACTGGGTGGACTGCCTCACTAATGTTGACCAGAAGAATTACAGATTAACTGGTTGAAAGTCACATTCTTGTGAAAGGCTGAGATTACAGTTGGGTTAGGTATTAAACATGAATTTCGTGATGAGGACTTGAGGACAAGGGACTCCATTTGGGGCCTGTTGTCTCTTTCTGAACAGAGGGAAGGAGCTCAGCAGAACTGAGTTTAATAAGACATGGACAGAAAAATGTGAGTTAGAAAATGATACGCGTTTAAAGAAAAGTGTTTCTTCAGAGCAGGAAGAGGTAGCATTTCTGTTTTTAAAGACGTTATAAAATTCTGAGGGGTTCATAAATAGCTGTGACTACATTATGTGCAGCATATTCTGGGGCTTCTTCCTGTGTGTTTTCTCAGTAATATATCTCTCTCCTTAGGCTGTAAACTGTAATAGTATATTTTGGGTCAGTGTAACTCACCTTCACTTACAGAGCTGTTTCTATAGCAAGGATCAAAAGCACGTACAGGTTTTTATATTGAACAAAATTACAATGAAGTTGATTCTGAGACAGGAACCGCAGCCATTTTAGGAACATTCCCCATTTCAGGTCTCAGATGACCTGCCTGAATATACGTGTAACCTTATCTGACCTCTGTAACCCCACCCACTGTTTTCACGCCACAAGCAGGCCCGACCTCCGACCCTATAAAGCTGACCCAAGCCCTTTGTTCGGGGCCCAGAATTTGGAGACTGCCTCCTCTGGGCCCGCATGCGTTAATAAAAGTCTCCTTTCGCCTCCTCCGGTGGACGGCCTGAGTCTTTTCCGTTACAATTCCAATATATGGCTGCCCACTTTCTAGGGCTTTTTTTTGAAGGGAAATGGGAAATGCATTTGAGTGAATTATTACTTTCTGACCTATTTTATAGGTTAGACTCTGAACAAAATTCTTCATTGCCTTTTATGCAGACTATTATTTACTCATGGTTTGTGGATATATGAATTCTTTGAATTCACTTAAGAATGACGTGGCCATACAACCTGCCCTCCCCATGAGGTTGTGCCAGCTTGGAGAGTGAACTGTGGTCTTAAGTCTACCTCTAAATAGCATGCTGTCCATCTGGGGGGGGGGGTCT